ACCCAAGTCTAGATTTCTGGCTTCCAATTATACCTCGAAGCGTCATGTTGTCCAGAAATAGAAATGGGTCTTGTTAAATTCTGAAATCATTCCCTGCTCACGTTGCACCCTCACTGGAGAAACTGCCTGGTGTTTTTTAAAATATATTGAAGCTGACAGAGTATGTACTTAAATCAATATGTTATATCATCTTAGGCTGTCCGGGCAATTTGCGCTCATATGTCCAAATATTCCTAACAACATCTGAACAACCAAAATAATTCACTTGTCGTGGAGCTTAAACAAATCTTACGAATTGCCAAGCATCTCTTACGTGTTACATGTTGCCATAGACTTACATCTAGTCTCTGAAATGAACATATTTTACAGAAAAAACAGCTGTTAAATTATAGTTATAAAATATATATCATGAAAAGGAGTCCAGAGTCTTTCTTTATTTTTAATGATACTGCAGTAATCTAGACTTGCCAAATATTTTAGACTTACATGGGCTCATTGGATGTATTTGTATCAGGGTTTGTATGACAGAATATTGTCGCCACTGTAACCTCGAGAAGTTGAACGTTTGTTGAATTTTGTTTCAGTGGTATGCTGAAGAAACGTACCGTTCACTCCCTGGGCGTCACCACTGGGGGCATACCAAGTGACGTTAAAAGATGGTACTTGTTGTTACCCTGCCTGACGCTCGGCATGAAGGGGATAAATAAGGACTGGTCGGCTCGGAGTCAGTGTACTGTGTCTAAGTGGGGTATTCATGTTAAACTGTGGCATGGCATCTCAGTTGGCTAGAACTATAAAACAGGCAAACGTTTGGACCATTACAAGCGCGCGCGCGCGCACACACACACACACACACACACACACACACAAACACAGGCATGCATGCATGCATGCATGCATACTTTCTAGTACAGTAGAATAGGTCTTCAGTAACCCATGCTTGCCGTAAAGGCAAAGGTTTAATTGTCGTAAGAGGCGACTATCGGGATCAGGTGGTCAGACTCGCTGACTTGGTTGATGCACGTCATCGTATCCCAAATTCGTGGATCGATGTTCACGATGTCAATCACTGGATTGTCTGGTCCAGAATCGATTAGTTACAGACTGCGGTCATATAGCTGGAATATTGGTGAGTGCCTCGTTAAACAACAAACAAACATATTTTAGTACAGAAATCTGCGAACGCCACGCTCAGACCATTTACTCCTCAGCGACATATGATACCGTGAGTGCACATGAACTACACTCCTGACTTCCAGCAATCTTCAGCGGGTTCTTCAAGACAGACACCCGCTGTTATGAGAGTGTCTCCTGGTGATGTAAGCTTAAATCTGATTCCCTTAACCACTCTAGGATCAGCTATCAAAACATATATACTTTTACATATATAGACTTATAATCATTTGAGACGCATAACATCATTTCCTTTTATAATATACTGAAATAGAATGACAGATATACCAACACGTTTATTGCCATCTACTGGCGTTTCATACTGGTCGTATACGGTCTAGATTTCTGGATGATATGTTGGCCATAACGCGTTTTATTCCCAGTGACCATGCGCGACTGGTAGACATAGAAATATGATATTGCTCATAAGCAATATTAGGTAAACGCAATTAGCTGTCTGCCCCAGATGATGTGACATGGGTCTAGCGTGGCCATTAAATGTGTTTACAGCCGGCAGTGGAAGTCGGAATGGCATCGCTCTCCAATGTTTTTGTTCATTACTGCCAGCGCAATGTTGCCGGCGTTTGTTCGATCAGACGCTTACAAGCAGGGCCCCTGTGATCAATTCTGCTTAAAATAAACTCCCTCACTAGTGTTTAGTGGCGCTGTATGGATCGGCTGATTGACTTGGGGTTGGATAACGCTGAAGTAACGGTACTTGGGGATGAATTGTCAGAACGTGTGATGAGGTGGGTGAGAAAAGGATCCATTGATGGTGGGTAGATTTAGAGACCAGAATCGGTTTCTGGAATATCCACTGACGGTGGGTAGACATAATTTAAGACCAGAATCAGTTTCTGGAATATCCACTGACAGTGGGTAGACATAATTTAAAGAACAGAATCGGTTTCTGGAATATCCACTGACGTGGGGTAGATTTAATTTAAAGACCAGAATATCGGTTTCTGGAATATCCACTGACGTGGGGTAGACATAATTTAAAGACCAGAATCGGTTTCTGGAATATCCACTGACGTGGGGTAGACATAATTTAAAGACCAGAATCGGTTTCTGGACTATCCACTGACGGTGGGTAGATATAATTTAATGACCAAAATCAGTTTCTAGAATATCCACTGACGGTGGGTAGATTTAGAGGCCAGAATCAGTTTCTGGAACATCCAATGGGTAAGCAATGGGTAGACATAGCGATCGGAATTAGAAGCTGGATTATCAGCTGACGGTGGGTAGATTTGGCGATGATGTGAGTTGCTGGAATAGCCTCTGGGTTAGCAGTGGGTAGATATAGCAGTGGGTAGATATAGCCATGAGAATATATTGTGTGAGTAGCCACAGGGGGAATCGCTGCAGTAACCACGGTGTCAGGAATGGGTTCATGTGGCGAGTAGCGGGAGTATTCCGTGACGGTAGGTAGATGTAGCTATCAGGATGGGTTAAGAGAGTTTAAATTGGATTAGGAATAGGTAGATGTTGCGATTACACTCATTGATGAAGTTGTTGACGGTAGTTTTGGTGGGGCGGGGGGGGGGGGGGGGGGGGGGGGGGGTCATCTCTGATGACGTAGTTGGCGGTGGGGATGGTTGGGGTGATGGGGTACCATCATTGATGACGTGGTTGGCGGTGGGGGTGGTGGGGTACCATCATTGATGACGTGGTTGGCGGTGGGGGTTGTGGGGTACCATCATTGATGACGTGGTTGGCGGTGGGGGTTGTGGGGTACCATCATTGATGACGTGGTTGGCGGTGGGGGTGATGGGGTACCATCATTGATGACGTGGTTGGCGGTGGGGGTTGTGGGGTACCATCATTGATGACGTGGTTGGCGGTGGGGGTGATGGGGTACCATCATTGATGACGTAGTTGGCGGTGGGGGTTGTGGGGTACCATCATTGATGACGTGGTTGGCGGTGGGGGTTGTGGGGTACCATCATTGATGACGTGGTTGGCGGTGGGGGTGGTGGGGTACCATCATTGATGACGTGGTTGGCGGTGGGGGTGATGGGGTACCATCATTGATGACGTGGTTGGCGGTGGGGGTGGTGGGGTACCATCATTGATGACGTGGTTGGCGGTGGGGGTTGTGGGGTACCATCATTGATGACGTGGTTGGCGGTGGGGGTGGTGGGGTACCATCATTGATGACGTGGTTGGCGGTGGGGGTTGTGGGGTACCATCATTGATGACGGACGTTGTGGGTGGGTGGGGGGTGGGGTACCATCATTGATGACGGACGTTGTGGGTGGGTGGGGGTGGTGGGGTACCATCATTGATGACGTGGTTGGCGGTGAGGCTGGTTGGGGACCTTCATTGATGGCGTAGTTGTCGGTGAGGGTGGTGGAGTACCGTCAATGATGACGTGGTTGACGGTGAGGCTGGTTGGGGACCTTCATTGATGACATAGCGGGGGATTTGTGTTGATGATGGATGTGTGAAGCTATCCTATAAAAACAAAGAGGATTTGGTATGGAAGCAATATGATTATTGATGTTAGTTTAATTAGTTCACTCAAAAAAGATTGAAACATCGAATTTTGAAATGGGTAGATACATGAAATTATTATCACTAACTGATTACGTATTATTAGTATAACTTAAACATCAAGGGCATAAAACCTGCTGAGCTGGACATCCTCCTTAGACGTCATGGCCACGTCAACAATTACCATGTTAATTTTACAAGCCACGTTTACAATCTCTGAGCTGTACCTTATTTATGCCACAATTAAATAAAATGTTGATATATCGATCGACAAAAACACGTTGTCGTGGAGAATCTCGTCCAGATTGCGATGTGTATATTAACAGATCCCCCCGTATTTACTGGGGACTCTCCGTCAAGACGAGATAGCACATTGATTTCACATCACAGCCCCTGGCTCTGCCCAGCTCTGCTAAATTACATTAGCCCTCCCCTTATAAGTCAGCGTCCGCAAAAAAAGATATAATGTCATTTAAACTCTAGTTAGGGTTGCAAAGCACACAAATATTTCACGCGAAAAGTAGCGTAATATTCACGCGCCAGAAGCTGGTGCAGAGGGATGTTGACATGGAATCGACAGGACGGTGACTGATAGTCCCAGAAACACTTCATCTTTACTCAGCATCATTAAGGCCGGGTCTCCTCATTAGGCTTCAGTCAGGGGCGTAGTGTCAGGGTGACATACATTGAAATGTCGGAAATATTACCGTTAATTTAGACCACGTACTATATGGTAATATAGCAGCTTCATCTTTATTCTACCTCACTCAAAGCATGTGGCGATGCGGCGGTGAGCAATATTTACTTACTTAAACTTGTAAACTGTGAAACCCCGTTAAACCGGAGATCCTGTATTCCTGGCGATTAGTGATGGGAACGTATAATCTTATGTGTTCTTGATGTGACATTAATTGTTTTTTTCATCTAAGGAATTTCATTGGGAATTTATAGTACCTGCATCACTTGCATCACCTGCTTCACCTGTGCCATCTGCATCAATTGTGTCACCTGCATCACTTGCATCAACTGCTTCACCTGTGTCATCTGCATCACTTGTGTCACCTGCATCCCTTGCGTCACCTGAATCACCTTCATTAACTTCATTACCTGCATCACCTGCATCACCTGCGTCACCTGCATCACCTGCATCACCTGCATCACCTGCATCACCTGCGTCACCTTCATCACCTGCATCACCTGCGTCACCTTCATCATCTGCATCACTTGCGACACCTGAATCACTTGCATCGCCTGCTTCACCTGTGCCATCTGCATCAATTGTGTCACCTGCATCACTTGCATCAACTGCTTCACCTGTGTCATCTGCATCACTTTGTCACCTGCATCCCTTGCGTCACCTGAATCACCTTCATTAACTTCATTACCTGCATCACCTGCATCACCTGCTTCACCTGCATCACCTGCATCACCTGCGTCACCTGCGTCACCTTCATTACCTGCATCACCTGCATCACCTGCGTCACCTGCATCACCTGCATCACCTGCGTCACCTGCGTCACCTTCATCACCTGCATCACCTGCATCACCTGCGTCACCTGCATCACCTGCGTCACCTTCATCACCTGCATCACCTGCGTCACCTTCATCACATGCATCACTTGCGACACCTGAATCACTTGCATCGCCTGCATTACCTGTGTCATCTGCATCACTTGTGTCACCTGCATCACTTGCATCATCTGCGCCACCTGCGTCACCTGCGTCACCTGCATCACTTGTGTCACCTGCATCCCTTGCGTCACCTGAATCACTTTCATTAACTTCATTACCTGCATCACCTGCGTCACCTGCGTCACCTGCATCACCTGCGTCACCTGCGTCACTTGTGTCACCTGTATCAACTGCATCACTTGTGTCACCTGTATCAACTGACCCCTTGCGTCACGTACAAACTACCACAATGGTGATAACATGCTGATAACACGGGTTTGATTCCACATGTTTGTGTCAAGTCCAATTAATCTTTTATTCCCCGTCGGGATATAGGTAAAATAAAATATATAGCGGCGTGAAATCATATTCATTCACTCATTTAATATACGTGTATGAGACGTATCGTGCATACAAAATTCCTTCCCAGAGAGCGGAATGTCCGTGGTTCGATCCTCGGCCCCTTCAAACCAAAAGACATCAATTCATGGTACTTCTTGTTACCCTGTCTGACGATCGGCATAGTGGGACAAACAAGAACTTTAGTCCGGGCTAGGACAAAGAATCCACACATATACACGTGCATGCACGTCAATATATACGTGAATCTTGAACGCGACGTTAACCCCCTTTCACCAAGCCTCACCTCCCTCACCTCACTTCACCTCTCCTCAACTCAACTCAACTCAACTCCCTCACCTCACTCACCACGCCTCAACTCAACTCAACTCACCACGCCTCAACTCCCTCACCTCACCTCAACTAAACTCAACTCAACTCATTTCACCTCATCTTCCCTCACCTCACCTCACCTCACCCCACTCACCACGCCTCACCCCCCTCGCCTCAACTCACCACGCCTCACCACGCCTCACCTCAAATCAATTCAACTCACCTCCCTCACCTCACCTCCCTCACCTCACCTCACCTCACCTCACTCACCACGCCTCATCTCAACTCAACTCACCAAGCCTCACTCACCTCACCTAACCTCACCTCACCTCACCACGCCTCACCTCCCACACCTCACCTCATGCGACATTCAAGCCTGCCATGTCTGAGTGTTCTTTTTGTGAGTACTCGGTCTGTATAACATTGCAGTCAACAATTGTATCAACATCAATCTTATTGTTTACCACTTAGATTCCTCGTGTATATTCACATAGAAGTGTGGTAGGCCGTTGATATGCTTATGAATCCGGAATCTGTCTAGACGTGGTTTTAACACCAAAGTCCATCTGCGGTCCGTCCATATATATGTGGAGAGAGGGTGCGATAGAGACAGACAGAGGGAGACAGACATACTGAAAGACAAACAGAGATTGAGAAGGGAGAGAGAGAAGACAGGCAGACACACACAGAGACAGAGAGACAGAGAGAAAAATCGAGAACGAGAGAGAGAGAAAAGACAGACGGACAGGCAAAGAGAGCTGTTATTGTATATATCTGTGTATAGGTGTATAGCTTGGACTAAATGCAATAAAATACTGAAACATGTACACAGGCACACTTAGATATTTTCAGGATGCATTTTTAACATGAACACAATACAACAACACAGACACACACAGAGAGTGTGTCTTATCACGTTAGTTCGCGAGTGAGAGAGTAAAACAGTAGAAAAGAGGGAGCCTTAGTCAGAGCGATGCAAAGAACATACACAGGAAAAGAAAGAGAAAAGTGACCTGAGAACGAAGAATAGCTTCTTGGCGTGTTTTATCACGTTAATTCGTCAGTGAGACAATAAGTGAGCTAAGGTCCGTGGAAATAGGGTTAAATGTCGCGTCCAATATATTGCACTTATATATCGACGAGCATCCACGTGTGTGCGTGCGTGTGTGTATACGTGCGCGTGTGCGTCTGTGTGGGTGTGTGGCTGCTTGTACAAGTCCGGACTGATGCCGATTTTATAGTGCCATCCCACTGAGATACCAGAGAGAAAAACGAGAGACAAAAACATTATTGTTTGCAGGACATGCCGGTTGTCCTGAAATAAACTGTGTTGTAAAAAACGACATTTTTTCGGCGTCTCCTTTCTGAAAAAAACGTCTTTGACAAAAATCCCAGCCTTTACTAGAATATTAAATGTCACTCTCCAGAAGATATGGAAGTCATGGAACGCACGCACGTGTGTGTGTTGTGAAGGTGCATACAGAAGTCCACCACAGATCACACTAGGGCTGTATGTCATTGTTCCACTTCAGTTACCGAAGTTACAAAAGTATTAAAAATAAAATTTAAAAAATGCACATATTGTTAACAGCCCAACTTTCCCAATGCTAATTACCCGAACTCCATTGATAAATACATTCTTTACTTCTTGTGGCTCCCGGTAGCTGACGAATGCTGGGTATTTAACATACTTAACGTTCACAGTAGCGTACACGAGCGTAAAAGATACGTAGCGTACACGATGGCAATAGACACAGACACATCGTAGCGTACACGATGGCAATAGACACAGACACATCGTAGAGTACACGATGGCAATAGACACAGACACATCGTAGCGTACACGATGTCAATATACACAGACACATCGTAGCGTACACGATGGCAATAGACACAGACACATCGTAGCGTACACGATGGCAATAGACACAGACACATCGTAGAGTACACGATGGCAATAGACACAGACACATCGTAGCGTACACGATGGCAATAGACACAGACACATCGAAGCGTACACGATGGCAATAGACACAGACACGATAGAGTACACAAACACAATAGCCACAGACACACGTGGGCATTATATATACTTCGAGCCAAAACTTAAAGATTCATGAATAATATGAAATTATAAGCATTCAATTCAAACTAACTGAATGATATGAGTCCGGGGAACACTGCTGAGGAACACACGTATCTGCGGAACACATTCGAATACTTTTCAGTCTTGTAAATACCGAAAGCCCCACAGCAAAGTGTTGACCATGGGTCACTGTTAGCGTAATGTGTTTTTCAGCGTTCAAATAAGATGCAAAACAATCTCTTCTGAAAGCGATGTACTTTGCAGCTACACAGACGCGTGTGATGGCGCGGGCCCTCCAGTAACAACTTTAATCTATATTCATGGCCGGCAGCGTTCACTGTTTATCTGTTCTTATTGAGAACTAGGAGATGTTTGAAAGTTGCAAACCTACAATCTCTTCTGATGCTCCCAGGTCAATGAGTTTGGCTGATATAATCTTCAACATCTCCGTTGCTGGTATCCCAGTTAACACTAAATCTTCTTCAATGCGAAGGTGACCTTCAGGTCTGAAGGGAGTCAGTAGTGAATTGTGCTGCGGGCATTCAGTGGCCCCAAGCCTTGTCATTCAGTGGCCCCTAGCCTTGTCATTCAGACTGAAGGATGATAACAGTTTGTGGTTGTAGTTGAATCCTTATACAGTATATGTACATTGCTGAGTTTGCGGCTTTTAGTGTTGGTCTGACTGATGAAGTGCGTCGCACTCAATATTATCATCCTATATATCATCGCTCTCTGTATCATCACCCGATATATCTTCACCCTCTGTATCACCCGATTTATCATCATCCTCTATGGGGGCGGTGGGGTAGCCTTGTGGTTTAAGCGTTGGCTCGTCACTCCGAAGACCCGGGTTCGATTCCCCACATGGGTAAAATATGTGAAGCCCATTTCTGGTGTCCCCCGCCGTAATATTTCTAGAATATTGATAAAAGCGGCGTAAAACCATACTTACTCGCTCACTCACTCCCTCATCCTCTATATCATCACCCTTATCATCATCCTCTATATCATCACCCTCTGTATCATCATCTATATCATCATCCTCAATATCACAAATCTCAATATCATCACCCTCTATATCATCACCCTCTATATCATCGTCCTCTATATCTTCACCCTCTATCTCATCATCTTTATCATCATCCTCTATATCACCAATCTCTATATCATCACCCTCTATATCATCCTTCTCTATATCATCACTCTCTATATCATACTCCTCTATATCATCGCCCTTTATATTATCACTCTCTATATCAATAACCTCCACTTTCTATAACATCATCCTCTATATCACCGTCGTCTATATCATCACCCTCTATATCATCATCCACTATATCACCATCCTCTATAGGGGGCACGGGTGGCCCAGTCGTCCAAGGCGGTTCGATTCGCTGTGCAGAGTTGCGTCCCTTGAACACGCCAGAAATATATGATTTTGGGTTCGAATCCCGATTCGCCCCAATCATGTCTCTAGGTTTGTCAGCACCATAAGTTTCACCGAAGTGGTAAACTTCGGGCTTTCCTCCCACATTAAGCTGACACGCCGCGATATGACAGGAATACTGTAAGTTTGAACACAGTTACAATCGGCGTTAAACTCTATATCATCACCCTCAATATCATCATCCTCTATATCAACACTTTCTATATCATCATCCTCTATATCACCATCCTCTATATCATCATCCTCTATATAAACACTTTCTTTATCATCATACTCTATGTCATCATCCTCTATATCATCATCCTCTATATCATCACCCTCTATATCATCATCCTCTATATCATCATCCTCTATATCAACACCCTCTATATCATCATCCTCTATATCATCACCCTCTATATCATCATCCTCTATATCATCACCTTCTATATCATCACCCTCTATATCATCATCCTCTATACCATCACCTTCTACATCATCATACTCTATATCATCACTCTCTATATCATCACCTTCTATATCACCACCCTCTATATCATCATCCTCTATATCAACATCCTCTATATCATCATCCTCTATATCATCACCCTCTATATCATCATCCACTATATCATCACCCTCTATATCATCACCCTCCATATCGTCATCATCCACATTATCGTACTGTGGTTCACTTTACCTTGCTTGAAGTGTTGTGAAAAGGTGTGTGTGTGTGTGTGTGTGTGTGTGTGTGTGTGTGTGTGTGTGTGTGTGTGTGTGTGTGTGTGTGTGTGTGTGTGTGTGTGTGTGTGTGTGTGTGTGTGTGTGTGTGTGGGTGGGTGGGTGGGTGTGTGTGTGGGGGTGTGGGTGGGTGGGTGTAACGCTTATCCTCCTCCCTCCTCACGTCTTAACGCTTCCTCTTCGGCTACTAAAACCACAAGTTTTCACAACCTCCACACGTGATGTCAGTGTATTTATTGTTTCCTGACGCTCGTCACAAATATGTTTGCAAAGGTTCTCGAAAGATACACGTTTAAAACAGCACGTGTTCTTTATTCATCTTTTGTGTTTCCATTAAACACCTACTTTTTTTCTACCTACACATACACGCGTATTTATTCACAGATGGGACCGATTGGGGCAAGAAAACAAATAATCTTAACGGTGTGAATGTTATTTCACAGAAGTGATCCATCTTGAAGACGAATGTACATTTGGCCGGAAAACGCCCATATGGTAGCAACAGACAAGCCTAGTATGAAATATGCCGTTCACGATGTCGCGGATGGAGCGTCAGAGGACAAATTGACACCATTTTTCACACTATCCAGAATCAGGACTCGCGAGACACACCGTCATATGTCACGGGTTTTGCAAATCATGCCTGATGGTCAGAAGACGGCAAAGGGAAGATTTTTTATCCTGTAATAAATAGCAAGTTAACATCCCGACGCCATAGGCACGCATAGTCGAGAACAGATCCCCACAATTCGGTAATAATAATCACTTCAGGCGTCTAATGGTGGTGAAAATATGGGATGCATTCAAGATCCTCTCGCACTACTACTTCGTCAGAGTTTTTTCTTGGCCAAGTGGGGACATTCTATACCCTGGCTTGTCAGTGCTAGCCTCAACAAGAGTTATCTCAGCTCGGGACGAGCGGCGAGGGAGACAAATGAATGTTTAGCACAGATTGGTGTTCTGAAATCACGATCAAACTGCTTATACACAAAATGCAAGTATTAAAACATTTTAGTGTGAAAAAAAGCTATTTGTATCAATTTAGGTCAACGTAAATCTCATTGTTTACTTTTTATTATTGCCCAACTTTGGAACTGTCTACATATCATGAAGTAATGCCATTAATTTGGGATGGTTTATGCGCTGGGATGCTCACATTGTACCCATAAACTCACATGGGTATTGTGAGGCATGTTCATTATAAACATCACCCGGCTAAGAATAAACATGATGTAACGGTACTTCTTAAATCGACTCATTTATCTACACAGGAAGATCAAACAGAACCAGGATTTAGGAGACATCATTTAATCTACACACATTTCATCTTTTATTCACGTACAATAGAAATGTGTTACCGGCAATGTTGGCGAGATAAATTCGTGGCGTGTTAACTCTACGATCAACTTTACCTAATTCATCTTCCCCTTTTCCCAGTTCCTTACTCGATTTTATTGAGAGGAACGAGCACGGGGTACATCGTGTAGAAGATACGGTGCATTTCTTCAGCATCCCTGCATCTTTATAGACTAACAGCGTTATCTACTGGTTAGGATCACGGTCATCAAAATGTGTCAGGAGTGAGAATATGTTTTATGATGTAAAACTGCAAATTATTAAAGTTAAATAATATGTGGCTGTTTTTGTTGTTTTAGCATACCCTAGAACTCACAACATCAGTACGGAGATTGTGTACGAGCAGCTATTATTCAGTGCAGGGGATGCACGGCTTCCTCCAATACGCGAGATAGCATCTACTTGCTTTACAGCTAACATAAATACTGACTATGGGGCTCTTATTCAGATGAACATCATGTTAATGGTGCCACTCCTGGTTCTGTGGTGAGCGTTTGGTTTTGACTGGAATTTGCATGTTATCAAAAACAAGGAAGCATGCACGTAACTTCCGCTTTACAGTATTTGCTTGTTAAACGCCGGACTCTGCAGTGATGATGATAATAATAATAATAATAATAATAATAATAATAATAATAATAATAACGACGACGACGACGATGACGATGATGATGATGATGATGATGATGACGATGACGATGATGATGATAATAATAATATAAAGAAACTTTGAAGTTCAGAGCTGAACGCTCGCAATAAAGTCAAAGCCACAAATACTTTTGCTGTGCCGGTCCTTTCGTATTCTTTTGGTGTTGTTGATTGGACGAAACAAGAAATTGAGGGTATTGGCACCCTCACACGAAGACTCATGTCAAACAATAGATCCCAAACCCTCGCCCTTCCCTCAATCGCTTATATTTACCAATTATGGTAGGGTGTGGTTTGAATAATGTGGAGGCTCTTCATGATAGAATTGTTTTCTGCCAAGGATGTGGGACATAATCTCAATGTCGGTGTTGATTTTGTTGATGGTTCTGTACTTCTTGCATCCCAAGTACCAAGTTGTCCGACTCCCCATTGTTCTCGGTGCCTTAGGTTTGGTACCTCCCAATCTGTTGACTGACACTGGGAGAGTACCCGGGTTTGCTACCACGAATACAGCCCTTCTGACAATCTGGGTAATACAAAAGGCTGCAGGGTTGGGGATCTGTGATGAGGAGGTCCAGGATGATAACCTTCCTCTTTGCTAAGCAAAAAGCTTTAAGGATTTAATGACAAACAGAAAAGCAAAGGGCTGAAAGAATCGCCCTGAAATATTCCTGTTCTAATAGAAATGGGTTCCGAAGTCACCACCTGCCCCTGCGAATACATCTCAAGTTGAGTTGTTGTTATTGTTTGTTTTTTGTTTTTTTATTATTATTATTATTATTATTATTATTATTATTATTATTATTATTATTATTATTATTATTATTAATGCTTCATATAATAAAATGTTAACAGCTTCTGGAATACAATACCGTGTTCGAGCATTAAGAGGCAAAACGTCCGCTGATATCCTGCTTGATATAGTTATGGAAACCATATACACAAAATCTAAGAGTAGCAAAATGTTAACGGTTTAAAACAACACTTCATAATTTATTGCAATGTTACGATTCTGACGTTAGCACATGTGCTTACTTGCATTTCATTATCCCTTAATGGCTTACTGTAATAACCAAAACGAGCTATGCCTAATTTTTATGTTGAACGACAATGATTATAGCGATATTATTCCGATACAGAATAAACTTCGTTATTAAATTACGAGTCTTACTCCTAATTGCAACAGTGCTTATCCTTCTGGCAAGTTTTAATTCGCTTTTCCTCCTTATAGAACACGATACTGATTTCTGAAAAAACTGACTATTCACTGATGGGTTCAGTAATTGTGTTTTAACTATTCCTTATATCGTTTGTTTGTTTTTTGTTTAACGCCGAACTCAGCAATATTCCAGCTATATGACGGCCTTATATCGACGGCGTTGAATTGCGACAAGTGGAATCTATATATTATTCATTCAATGGGTATTAGCTGCATACTTGACGATAGTATTCATATATCCTTCAAACAATGTCATTACCGTTTTTAAATGCTAATTAAATGTAGATTATTCATTTTTAATACGTATATGCAGTCCACAAAGTAATCTCATGTGGTACCCACAAAACCGACACAACCAACGCAGTATTTCAACTCATTATCAATAATACTTGACATTTCATATGGAAGCTGGCGTATTAAGTAACCATTAAGAACGATTATTATGCGGATGTTATGTGAAAATTTTTATCACGTAAAAGTATGTTTGAATTGTACATGGTGAAACTCATATTGAATAAATTAATAACAAATGAACGTGTTTACATTGGAGCGTATTATCAAATTGAGGTTAATTGTGGTAATACATGTTATTGTCAGCTTATTACCTGGGTTGAGGTTACGGTGAATGAGAGCTTGGTAATATACCCATAATATTAATTATATTTATCATCCCAAACTGGCTTTCACAGGGTATATCGCAGACTATTGTAAAGCATCGGCTACCGTGACGTCACCGGCGAATGACATACATTATTATTACCATGCCTATTGCAGACCAAACTGTAGTTTAATGCAGTGCGATGATCTGGTTAAACCATTTGCTGTATTAATTTACTCAATGTTTCAGCGAAGAAAATATCATATAAAATAATAAATTGGGGAGTTGTATACATATCATTTTCACTGTTGTATTGCTGTGTGTATGGTTGTTGTGTGGTGCTGTTGTGAGGTGCTGCGAGTTGTGATGAGTGACTGGCCTGTAAGGTTTGCTGTATGCTTGTTTCGTGTTTTCGGGTTTAATTGTGTGTGTATGGTCGTTGTATGGAGGTGCTGCGAGTTGTGATGAGGGACTGGCCTGTAAGGTTTGCTGTATGCTTGTTTCGTGTTGTCGGGTTTAATTGTGTGTGTATGGTCGTTGTATGGAGGTGCTGCGAGTTGTGATGAGGGACTGGCCTGTAAGGTTTGCTGTATGCTTGTTTCGTGTTGTCGGGTTTAATTGTGTGTGTATGGTCGTTGTATGGAGGTGCTGCGAGTTGTGATGAGGGACTGGCCTGTAAGGTTTGCTGTATGCTTGTTTCGTGTTGTCGGGTTTAATTGTGTGTGTATGGTCGTTGTATGGAGGTGCTGCGAGTTGTGATGAGTGACTGGCCTGTAAGGTTTGCTGTATGCTTGTTTCGTGTTGTCGGGTTTAATTGTGTGTGTATGGTCGTTGTATGGAGGTGCTGCGAGTTGTGATGAGGGACTGGCCTGTAAGGTTTGCTGTATGCTTGTTTCGTGTTGTCGGGTTTAATTGTGTGTGTATGGTCGTTGTATGGAGGTGCTGCGAGTTGTGATGAGGGACTGGCCTGTAAGGTTTGCTGTATGCTTGTTTCGTGTTGTCGGGTTTAATTGTGTGTGTATGGCTGTTTAGTTGGGAGTGTGTATATGTGACAGTGGATTGTTACTTTGTTAGTGTCTTTGTACGTGGTTGATGCTC